CAGATAAGGAAAATGAAAAACCCAGAGTGGTTTTAATTTGCAGGAGTCACACTGAGGACACTGGAACCTTGTCCAATCTTCCATCCTTAATTCACCCTGCCAGTTTGGGCATTTCACTAAAGGGCAACCGGAGAGAATTCTGCAGGCTCTGGATGTGTCTCACTTCTCTAGTGCAATTCAAAAGTCTGTCCTGCTGATGTCTCCGTTATTTGTTATGTTATCGCAGGAAAGAGATGTAGGCAGTCTAGCCAGAGCTCTGCTAAAGCTAAATAAGTACCTTGCCTGCATCTGTACCCATGGCAATCCTCAGAACACATGCCACACTCACCACTGTCCATCTTGGAAAGACCTGAGAACCTGCAGGAATGGCCTTTGGTGCTTTGGATCTTCCTCAGAGGGGGAAATACCATGAAAGACCTAAGTAGTAGCAAGTTCCCAGCATGGAGAGGGGGAGAGATTCCAAACTTGTCATGAGAGAATCCCATCCCTTCCTGCCCCCAGGTTCCTGCTGTGACAGTCCTCTCCATGGAAGAACTGGGCAGAGGGAACTCCCTTCCATCACCCCATTTCCAAATATTGGTTGGGTCACATGGAAGCTTTTCAGGCATTGGGGTGGAGTTCCAATGCCAACTCTGCACGCAAATTTTAGCCAAAAACCTTGTTGCATATTCTTTCCCCTCCTTGAATGACTTCTACCCTTATCCATCTCTTCACCCAAGCTTAAAAAAAAAAGTTTAATATAGCAATTTGGCAGAAGGAAGTGTAAATGTTATGTCAGCGGTAAGACACCATTTAATCCTGATGGATGGTTTGTCAGGGAAGCGTGACGTTAAATAGCACCTGCTGTTCCCAGCGATGCGCAAACAGGACTCTGTGGTTCCAGGCAGGTGAAAATCCTCAGAAACTCTAGAAGGCCATTTTATTTCCCTCCTTCCATGGGGCAGAACATATTGCCAGCCCTGGTGGGTACGGGTTGGAGATGGGTAGTGACTGCTTCTGGATTACCAGGTAAGCAGAACACCCATGCAGGTTGGGTTCCGTAAGCATTGAGTGAGGGATTTGCTGGATAGGCTGGGTTTTCCCTGATTCTGGTGTCAGAAATTCCAAAAGGGGGATGCTTGGGAAGAAAGTAAGAAACGATCGGAAGAGCAAACCAAAGGAAGGGGGATGATGGGAAATTCCCAATGCCTCCCTTCCTGGCTGACACCTCCGGGTGACTCTCTCCTGTCCTGGCACCATTGAGGCTGAGATACTAAGGAGGACAACCCCTTGTAAAGAGGCTTAGTGAGTGAGTTGCAACCTTGGACATTAGCATTAAAAAAATACTGATGTCTGAGATTCCCAAGATCTTCATCCAAGGAAATGTTAATGTGTTAAAGTAGACTCAGGGTCATCTTGTAGGTGCTCCTGAGAATGTGGGCACTACTGGTATTTGAGACTAAATGCTGCTGGACTTCCACTTTTAAGAAAGCAAAATCAGGGGCTGGGGATGTGGCTCAAGTGGTAGCACGCTCGCCTGGCATGCGTGCGGCCCGGGTTCGATCCTCAGCACCACATACAAACAAGGACGTTGTGCCCAATGAAAACTACAAAATAAATATTTAAAAAAAAAAAGAAAGCAAAATCAACATTTGTTGTTGTTGTTGTTGTTGTTCTCCCATGCATCACCACACATTCTAGGCTTTTAAAAAATATATCATGGTTTTACATATATATATATACACCTGTGGCTGGGAATTTTTATTTTGTCTTATGGTTTTGAAGGCCTAAGAGTATGGCACCAATCTTGGTTGCTGGTGAGGGATTCATGGTAGATGGTATCACATTGCATGGCAGAAACACATGTGAGATGTCACATGGCGAAACAGAAAGGAAGAGACTAGGGAGGGACGGGGCTTGCTCTTCAATAACAACCCGTGAAACACATTAATTGAATCATGAGAGGGAAGCCCCCGGGGCCTAATGACTTCCACTAGGTCCCATCTTTTAATGGTTCCACCACTGTGACACTGCAACACAAGGAAACAGATTTCTAGCACGCTAGCCTTTGGGGGCTAAACCTCTTCCAAATGACAGCAGTCATTCCAGTGAGAAAATGGGACTAATCCCTGTCACTCCTTTCTCTGTCCCCCATCGCCTCTGTTAAGGGCTCTCCTGTGACTGAACAGGCTGGCAACTGGAGACTGTCCCGTTAAAGGAGGCTACGTCTCTGTCCTAAACCCGAATCTGACCCAGTGAGGCTCAGGAAATAAGTCCAGGCCACATCTGGAGGCCCTGCAGAGGTGAGGGAAGGACACCCATGCAGGCTGGGATTCTTTTGCTCTCCCTGCAGACGTTAGATCTGCCTTTTCACAGGCTGCTCTGCCTGGGAAAGTCTGCAGGGAGGCCAAGTCCACGGTTAAACCAGGAGCCCTTCGTGTTCCAGGACTCTCGTTCCTGCCCTTTCTCTTGAGCAGTAAATAACTCAGCTTTGAAAAACATGCCTTGGTGACACGTTCATGATGGCCAAGGGAACGGCAGAGCCTGGATGCCTGAGAGTAGAGCTCAGAGCTCCAGCCCTGGTCTCACTCGCTCACACAGATTTCCTCAGTGCAGAAAATGGTGGTGACCATGGCCCTGAGGGCCACCAAGGAAGGGGTCCTATGTCTTATAGTGGTGTCCACCAAGTCCCCCTGAACAGGGTGGACATAATCCCACCAGCTGGTGGCAATATTGATGCAAAGACTTGTCACTGTGTTCCTTGATGGCCACAGCCCTACACCCAAAGAAACTGCAATTCCCAAGTTTCCTTCCACTTTCAAGAGGCAGTTAATGCTGGAATTAAATGCCCATCTCACTTCTCTCAGTGTGGGACATCTTGGTTTTGCAGCTTCAAGTACTGGGTGAGGCCTCAGGCACAGCTGTGTTATTGGTCGATTATGCCCTCTCCTCAAACCTGCCTTCCTCACGGCCCTCCAGGTGTGTTTCTCTCAATTTTGCATGCCGCTCTCCAACACAGGGTCCATTTCCAGGACACCTAAGCTATGTGACTTTCTCTTCATGGTCACTGTTCCCTCTGAGGGCAGTTTCAAGATGCATGATATTAACATCATCCTAGAAAAATGATTTGCTATAATTACACTAAGATTTAATCTCACTCTGGTTAGAATGGCAATCATGAAGAACACAAATAATAATAAATTCTGGTAAGAATGTAGGGGGGGGAAAGTATACTTACACACCATTGGTGAGAATGTGAATTGGTACAAACGCTATGGAAATCAGAGGAGGTTCCTCAAAAGACTAGAAACGGATCTACCATAAGACCCAGCTATACTGTTCCTCAGTATTTCTCTAAAAAAAATTAAAGTCAGAATACTGTTGTGCTACCTGCATACCTATTTATAGACTTAATAGTCAGGTTATGGAACCAGACTAAGTGTCCACCAACAGATAACTGGATAAAGAAAATGTGGTATATATACACACCGGAGTTTGTTATAAAGAATAAAAAAATTATGTCATTGCAGGAAAAGTGGATGGAACTGGAGAACATCGTGCCAAATGAAATAAGCCAGACTCCAAAGTCAGGGGTCATGTGTTTTCTTTCATATGTAGAAATTAGAGAGGAAAAGGTTGGGCACTTCATGAAAATAGAAGGGAGACCAGGGGGAATAAAGGAGGGGAGGGGACAGTACGAAGTGGGTAGGGGACAAATTAGACCAAATTATGCTGTGTGCAGATACAAATACATCACATTGGAGCCTGTTATTGTGTATAATTATAATTTACCAATAAAAATATTTTTAAAAGGAAAATGATTTGCTTTGTGGTTAGAAGAAAAACATTTTTGTTAGGTGTAAATCCCTGACATTTACGTCCCCTCTGATGGCCATCGGCTTGCTAAGGAGGCCTGGGGAAAACCAGCAGGGCCAGAAGTGACAAAAAAGTCACTGAAAGGCAGACTGAAAAGCAGTTCCAAATAGCAGGGACATGGGACATGCCAAGGGAGCTGCTGAAAGGAGCCGGGTGTGAGATTAGCAGAGATAGCAGGGAAAGTTGGAAAGGGGACAGAAAAGAAGAGGCAGAGAGGACTACTTGAGAGATAAGATACTTTTGTTTAATTTCCTGGATTAGTTGCTTTTAAATGGTTTACCAGAAGAAAAAAAAAATCTGCTCTGTTAATTTACTGCAGGAGCTTTGTAATTGGAGAGCTAATGGCCTTCCAGGGGAAGGGAGGAAGGGAGGATGGCTGGAGATTTGTGCTCAGAGGTGAGCATGCTACAAGAAGCCCCACCTGTGTGTACAATGTACTTAAGGGATTAGAGCATACTTTGAAATTATGATATGTTTTACCTAAAGTAAGCACCTCACTTTTTAAGCTTCTATTTCCTTGAAGGAGGAGGGAAGAAAACCATCCATTCTCCCAGGTAATCAGGTGCATAAGACTTTCTGCTTGTGGGATTTAATAAAGTTTAGTGCAGGGGGATGAAGGGTGTGCTATTAATCTTTTAGCATGATAAAACTTATTGTCAACACTTGTGATTCTAATTCAAAGGTCTGGCTTGCAAGAGGTCCATCAGCTCTGGTTACAGGTAAAATTTTTTGGAAGACTCAGGAGTGAGAGGGCCAGGGAAGCTGTAATATGAGGGGTGAGAGGACATGCAAAAAGACTTTTTAAAGCAGAATTGCTGTAGTCTCCATGTTTCCTTCAGGGTCTTCCAGAAATGCAAGTAAATACTTGATGGTCTTTATTTAAATATAAAGTGTCCTGGGGCTGAAGTGGGGGTGATTATTAAAGACAGAAACTTCATCTCCCTTTCCTCTGTTTATCTGGAAGGGAGGCAGGGCCCGTTTATAAATGAATAATGCTCGTCCACTACCGGCTAAGCTGCTGTTTTGGATGATTTTGTAGCAAAAGGTTTGTCAGTCAGGCAGAGGGCCAGAGGATATGGTAACCAGAAATACCTACCTTAAACAGCATGCAGTTTTTAGGAGACTGAGAATCACACACAGATATGTCTAATAAAGACATAGAGACTTTATTTTTAAAACACTCATGTTGCAAAAAAATACATAGAAAAATAAAGTTCAACTGGGGTACTTTACTAAACTTCAAGTCACAGACCTTTATGTTACATATTGAAGCAGTGTTCGTGAACTAATTTAGTAAACAGGATAGAAACAGACTGTCCTGGTCACCCGTCAGGCCCATAAACTATTTCTTCAAATATTTTTCTACCAGTTCAGGTGTGGGTGAATGACTAGTTCCAACGGGGATTGATAAACAAAATAATTTGAAACAAACTTTCTTTTTGCAACACAATACACATCACAGGTAAATGTTTAATCCTTGTAGAACTGCAGGTTGAAAGAATTCAGAGAGGGAAGAAAGAGTACGAAGTGGAGAAGCAGCACTAAATGCTTAAGAGACTGTCCAAAGCAGACAGCAATTGAGGCTCCTCCACATTTGGAGCCATCTATAGTACTGTGGAGGAGGGGGGGCGGCAGCTCATGGCACTGGACATTTCAACTTGGAGCACAAGCCATGGAAAAATGGGCTGAAACTGGCTAACTTTCTATCAACTCACTTTAGGAGTTTGGCCACCAACAGTAAACTGGCCCTTTTAATAGGAGGAAATTGAAACGTTTCTCACTGCACGGGATTAAGTAGTGGGAGCAATAGACTTCCCAGCCTCAGGGTACCTCATAAGCAATGTTTTTGGGTTATTCCCCCCAATGGCTCCTCTCTACCAGGTCACCTGAAGGAATACAACAGAAAAGTGCAGCCAACCTTCTTTTTTGGCTTGCTGCTGGTTTTCACTGAAGTCATTCTGGGGATCTGTTATAGTACTGAGCACAGGTCCTGAAGCTTGTGAATAGTTGTTTATTTGGTGATGGAAGCCACGACCATGTTGTTTTGGACATGGTTTCCTTTTTCTTAGCCTCTTCCTGCAGAGCATATATCCCCTCCTTCTCCTGCTCAGTGGATGAGGCTACCTACGGCCCAGGTACGTTTCTTCCCTGCTCGCTCTGGGAGCCCTTCATTTCTCCTGGACAGACGGGTCGATGACATTGGACCCTGGGCACTACATTCTTTTTTCCAATGCAAAAATGCATTAGTCCTTACCTTCTCTGCCTACAAGGATTTCCAAAGAGGGTCAGACTCTGAAGTGTAACGGAGCCACAGTGTCCTATAAATGCAGCAGTGACCTTCTCAAGCTGTCAGGTCTTTAAATAGGATTTGGGATTTAATGCTGTATATTTTTAAAGGAAAGAAATAAGCATTGCTACTTTAGAAAATGTATGTCTTTTGGCCGACTCAGAATCTGCCCCCCTCCCCCTTTTTTTCCAAGGCTGGGTGTGATAAGAGAAAAAGAAAGACCAGATCTCGGGCTAAATAAGAAAGGCCTATTAGGTGTAGCCAAACTAAAAGCCTAGACTGAAAAGAAGCCCTTCAGTGGGTAATTGCTGCAGAAAAGAAAAGAATAAATAAAATAAAATAAAAGGAGGGAAGAAAAGACCTTACCCTAAAAAAGAAAAAAAAATGAAAAAAAAAGTGTCACCTCTGTTACAATGGAGAACAAATTCTACCCTAAAAACCCCAGGAACCTCTCATTCTAAATTTTCCAGCTAGGGCAGATGGGGTTGGCAGACGCCCGTCCACTTTTTGCCAATAAAACAGGCAACAGGACCCTCCTTAGGCCCCTGCTTGGACACGCGGAGGTTCTTCTGGCACAGTCCCACCCCTTCTGGTCCAGTTCTGTTTATACAGCTTGTCTTAAAAACCACAGCGAGTGCATCTTGTTCTACTCAGGCCACCCTGTAAATACTTAAATTGGCATACTACTGAAAAAGGAATAAGCAGCTCAGATTTTCACCTCCCCACCCCTGTCCCATGCCAACCTGTCCAGAGCATGAGGGCTTTTCATTGAGACCTTCCTCACTTTTACAGGAATAGAGAGAAACCTGGGCCACATTCCAAGGCCAATAGGAGTTTTTTGAACCTAAGTTTACTTCAGTAGGTGACATCCTCATCTTGGCTGTCTTTCTCTCCTTAGGTTGGCTCTTTCAGAGTTGATATCAATCACCCAGGAGGATGGGGCCACAGCAACAGAATCCTCAGGAGCAAGGCACACAGCTCATCCAAAGTCAAGCAAAGTGCTGGTAGCAGCACTTGGTTTTTCTCTTCCTCTCCTCAAACAGTAAGCTAAAAGCAACAGTGATCTATGGCAGGCACTGGGGGAACTATTTAGATAGTGAAATAGTCGCTGCCCTAGGTCTTTCACTGGCCCACCAGTGAAGAATCTGGGATTTCCACAGAAACCCCCAACAGTTTTGGTCTGCACACCTCTGGGACCCCAGCTCTTCCTGACCTCAGCCCCTTCAGTTTTCCACAGAGACTCTCCGGGGAAGGCAGTTTCTGATCGCACACAGTTGTCCTTTGAGCTGGCGTTACCAGAGAGCAGGGCTCCAGCTGCCCAGGCAATAAAGGTAGGGGTAGTAAGGGTAGCTGTTATACATGGAGATCAGGGAGGCCCTGGAGAAGCCCCCCTCCTTCAGGACTGGTAAGGAGGAGGGCTTCTCTAAGTCGCCCAGATCGGAAGACAGCTGCTTTCGTTTAGTCTTATAGCGTCTGTTCTGGAACCATATTTTCACTTGGGTCTCAGTGAGTTTGAGGTTCTTGGCCAGGTGAGCCCTTTCGGGGGCAGACAGGTACTTCTGATGGCTGAACTTCCTCTCTAACTCAATGACCTGAGTGTGGGAGAAGGCAGCTCGGGAGCGCTTCTGAGGCTGCTTGGGGGTCTGGGAAAGGCTTGGTAAGGCGCCTGAAGTGTGCTCACAGTCCAAGAGATAAGTCTCAAAGTGACTATCTGGAAAAGAGAGGAGGAGGAGGATTAGAAGAAAAAAGTTACATGTTAGCACAGAATTCAATCCACCCTTATCTCGTCCCTGAGTGAACAAAACAGCCCACTGTTATCTTGGAAACATTTCACTTTTTTCGCATGATTAAGGAACTCTCTGGAAAGGAGAATGAGTAAATTTGTATATTATGTATTAGTTTTCTAAGAATCAGCAAGAATCCGAAGTTACAGGCGTTTAGTGGTTGCACTTTCTGCCATATTGTTGAGTACAATTAAATGGGAGATTCTGGATATGTTTGTTAAAGATATGTGGGAGCAGGCAGGCAGGAAAATACCCCAGAAGTGAGACACCCGGTAAAGGGAGACAAAAAGGTATCCGGAGATAGCATCCGGGTGGGCAAGAGAGGGCTTGTGCGATGGGAGAGGCGGCAAGGGCTAATGGCAAGTTCATTCTCGGGCTTTATTCCTCTTTACCCTAAATGAGGCGTTAGGTTGGTGCAGAAGAAGTGATGGGAAAGAAAATGAGTCTACTCTATAAATATTCCAACGGTGTTATTTCTCCTTAAGACCAAAAGGAACAGTCCAAAGTACTGTGTTACGGGCCCACGAGACTGAGAAGCAAAGGGACTTCTGCTGATCAAACAATAATTAATATTAACACATTCTTATTTGTTCTAATCGCCTGAGCAGGTGCCACTGACTTTAGCGGGTCAAGCGGTGTCAAAATAGGGCACCACCCTGCACAGGGGCTCAGGTTTTAACCTCGAGGCTCGTCCGTGGCCAGGGGATAGCGAGGACAGAGATGCCGCACCCCAGCATCCCGAGCTCCGGGAGGTCCCCCTGGGACCAGGCCTCCCC